GCTTCTCCCTCTCCCACTCCCCCTGCTTGTGTTCCTGCTCTCGCTATCTCTCTCTCTGTCAAATAAATAAATAAAATCTTTAAAAAAAAAAAGAAAGAAAAATGTTTATATGCATTTATGTGTAATATACATGGTGGGCAAGTGTCCCCAATTCAATTTCTCCTTCTTTTTAGAACCCTGGTTTTTAGCTGAGCACATTGCCACCAGAATAAAGACGACCTGCTTCAGCTTCCCTTGCAGTTAGGAGTGGTTATATGACTCTATTTCCCAGCAACCCTTGTAGCCAGGTATGGCTTTTGCTTATGTGAGATGTAAGCAAAGTGTTGGGGGAGGTTTGGGAAGAAACACCTTTATAAGGGAAGGTGTGAGTTCCACTAGACTTCTTCTTTCTTCTACTATTGGAAGGTAGACGCAATAGCTGGAGTGCTAGCAGCCATTTTAGACTTCTGCTGATCTTGAGGATCAAAATCAGTTCTAGGATAGTGGGACAGAAAATGAGGAGGGGCGCCTGGGTGGCTCAGTCAGTTGAGCATCTGCCTTCAGCTCAGGTCATGATCCCAGGGTCCTGGGATTGAGCCCCACATTGGGCTCCCTGTGCAGTGGGGAGCCTGCTTCTCCCTCTCCCACTCCCCCTGCTTGTGCTCTCTCTCTCTCTTTCTCTCTCTCTCTGTCAAATAACTAAACAAAAATCTTAAAAAAAAAAATAAGAAAATGAGGGGCTTAAGTCCCTGAAGACATCATGGGATGGCCAAAATCCCCCTGAACTGCCTAACCTCAGACTTCTTTTATCTAAAAATGAATGAAAGAATGAATGGATGAACTTCAAGCTTATTTTGAGGATGTTTATTTGATTTTATTCTCTGTGCATTCAAACTTTACACTTTGGAGATGTAGGTCAAAGTGACTGACGACTACCTCCTCCCCAATCTATAGCACATGAGAGTCCAAAGCCCTCCCCAAGATACTTGTGAATTCCTGAGCTTGTATTCTCTTGGTCCTTCTGCCTCTGCACTTTCTTCTACGTGTGCCTTCGTAGCTCTGCCTTGCTCTGATCCAAACAGAAAAGTTGTTCTCATTGATTTCCACAAAAATCCATTCAGGATCTGGGCAAAGTATCATTTCACACATGGCATAGTAAACAACTTGCAAATCTACATCAGACCTTTCTATTAGCTCAGTCTCTTGCCACCCCACTTTCCAGCACTTCTCTCTTGGTTTTCTAGCCAGAAAGATGCTAGCGTCTCATCTGTCCCACTTCTCCCTTCACTCTCATTTCTCTGTTCCTACCCTCTTCCTTCCGGATTAGGTCCAAATTCTTCTGCCTTGCTTATGAAAAGTAGTTCACTAACCACAGCTCCTTTCTTGAACTTTTATCAGGTGCCCAACAGATAAAACAAGTGATATCTAATAGAATGCACCCTCCTTAGAAGGCTGTGGTTATAAATGGCATACCCCTGCTAGATACATATCTCTAAAAATCTCAAGACCCTGGAAGGGTGTGAATGAGTGGGTGGGGTTTGTGGGGAGTGTCAGAGTACACATCCTGTTGCGTGTCTAGGTTGCTTTGCACCATTGCTGGGCCACCCATCGCTAGAGGATCATTGGTTTATCTCCTGGTGCATGGCTCTTCCTGCTGGAAGCTACCAGCATACATCTCGGAGAGGCGTTACTGGTCTCCACACTCTCACCCAGTGCCCACTGTGTGCTTACTACTCACATGCATCACAAGTCTCCCCCCTCCAACCAGGACCTGTGGCTGGCCACTCCCCTGGGGCTTTCTGAATTCCAACTTTGCACCTACTTACGTGCATTACTGAAATGGAAATCCCTTTAAATGCCCTCAGAAAATGTATAAAGCATGTTAAAATTCCAATATTACTTGAGAAGGATAATGTTAATTGATTGTTAGCTTTAAATTTCTCCAACATTTAGTGGTAGGTTTTTTTCGCTCTCATTGTCTCTTTAATCCTAGGAATTTTTCTATAATATTGGCATCATATGACCCATTTTGCAGTGACAGCAACTAATCCCAGAGAGGTGGACCCACTTGTCCAAAGGCACCCAGCTAGGAAATCGTGAAGCCACAATGAAAATGTAGGTCCCCCCTCCTAAATTCATAACTCTTTTAATTAGCAGATGGGCAGCCTTGTTGTGGATTAATTTACTATTTCCCTAGCACAGAACAGAAAGAGGATGGGCTAAAGCTAGAATAAATAAGCTCTGACTGGGGAGGAGCGGGTCAGCAAAGCATCTGGGGTTGGTGGGTCTGAACCGAGCACCACCGCAGAGAATCCTGGGAAGCCAAAAGCCAAGAGAGGGATCCCTGGTGTCAGGAAGAGGAGAAAGTCAAAGGAAAGGTATGCTTTTGTGACAGCACCAGCTTTTACAGTATCTCCTGCCGTCTAGGTCATTTTTTTTTCCTGATTAAGGGACTTGCTGTGAATGAGATGGTGGAGGCCAATGCAGGTCAAAAAATAATCAGGAAGCATATTCAGACAGAACAAACCAGAACCACAGGTGTAGCATTTGGGAATTATAAACCCTCAGCCTTCTGCTACAGGGACTGTGGTTTGAAACTCCCCAAGTAAAGTAACAAAATGCTGCAAGGAAGAAATCTCATTCCCCACAGCAGATATTGAGAAAACCTGAATTGGAGCATCTGATAGCAGGAGTCCCCTAGAGACATTGTCCAGGGTCCAGCTAGTTATTATAAGCCACGGGCAGATCCAGGGCCCTTCAGCAAGTTGCGCAGAGATCCTAGGTCTTGTGCTCTCAATGCTCAACGGACAAACGCAGCCCTGCGGGGGGACATGAAAGCAGCCAGTCTGAGGGATGCCTTGAGGAACCGCCCACTTGGTGACAGAAAGGTTTTGTTGGGGGAGTCTGCACATGCATTTACTTTAGCATTAATTAGCAAAAATCACTTCCTGATTTCTGTTTTCCTCTTTTGACCCTGCCCAGTAAGAACTTGACCTTCAAGCATGAAAATCAGTCTGTGGAAAACCTACCATGTGTCAGGTATGACTGACATACCCACACAGCTGAGGAATCTCATCGCTGGAAATGGTAAGGGACTTGCTTGGTGCTGCTCAGCTAAGCCAGGAATTCCCAGTTTGGCCAGGCCACAAGCCTGAGCACCCCAGGTTGCCTCCGGGTTCACTGTTCCTGGGTGGGGGTCGGTTTTGTAGGCAGAACTGCCTGTGTCCCACACACATTGACCAAGGCTGAAAACTTGCATTCAGCGTTAGGCTGAGAAATTCCTCTCACCCCGAGAGGCCTGCTTACAGCCTGCTCACAGCTATAAATCTAGACCAAAAGAAACTCAGGAAGCCCAGAGCCTGTGCCAGATTTTCTTCTGGAAGCTGCCTGAAGGTTCCTCACCAACCTATGGGTTAGCAAAAGAGACTGTGTCTTCCTGGAGTGCTGCCTAGAGCACAGAAAGCATTCAATAGAGGCTGCCTCCTCCAATCCATGCCGTTTCCCCACACCTTGGCCTGCATCTAGCATGGGTGTCTTATCCTCCTCTCCAAGGCTGGCCTGGCGTGCAGATTTCATCACACTCCTGCTGGAATAATAACCAAAGATTTGATTTACTAAGCACTCTCTTCTTGCCAGGTACCCGGGAAGTCTCTAGAACTTCTCTAGGCCCTGGCCCCTGTGGTGGTCCTGGTGACCTCCAGAGATTTCCTTGATCACAGGGTCAGGGACCTTGAGGACCAGCCTCAAAGGAAGTCACAGGCCCATGGTGACCAAGGTCATCCATGGCGTCTGTTGGTCCACCCTGTCCCGGGACATAAGCAGGGAAACACCCTGGCATGTGATATCATTGCTGCAGATTCAGAAATTTGACAAATTGGCATTTATTAAGCTAATGCTTACAAAGAAATCTTTAAACCATAAAAACTGGGATTTCCTACATCCTGGAAAGAATACAACTCTAAAATTCTGCCTGCTATTTTCAATGCCATTCCTTGAATAAAAGCAGGAGGAGGAGAAGGAGAGCTCTCTACCAAGTCTGATAGCTTTCACAATATTTCGTGAATTTTATAATAAGCTTTCCTCAGAGCTTCAACAAGGAGAGTAAAAATTGCAGGATCTCCCAGGCTTATCTAGATTGTGGTACGTTGGCCCAATCCCCTTATCTTGTCTGAGAATGGCATACGACTTTGCTGTATCCTGTTTCAGAACAAAGCACTTAGGTTATATGTCTTTTCTCTATCTAAGATCTGGTTCAGTTCCTCCCAAAACCCCAGAAAAACAGCATTCTGTTCTCATCTTCAAAACAGAAAGTCAGTCTCTTAAAAAAATGAACAAATCATCTACAGGTGGGGAATATAAACATGTTTTGAAATTCTGGAGGAAAGAGATGCACCACACACAGCCAAGTAAATATGAACAGGTTAATTCCAGCACATCCTTCTTCTCATTAGATTTAAAATCCAGCCGTGCTGAGTGCACATTACTGTCTCTATTCCTTATTTCCTGCACACCAGACTGAAGGCCCTGAGAAAACTTGACCCTCGGAGGAATAACCCAACTTCTCCAGGGGAAAAGAACTACCTGACCAGAATATTCTTTAGCAACAGAATAAGGAGCTCGATCTTACCATACAAAATTATTTAGAGCAAAACTAGATAACTTCTGAATAGAGCAAATTATAATTTCTATAATGTGTAGACGTTGCTGGTCACATTGCTATAGGTTGTGTGTTTGTGGTTTGTTTTTTTTTTTTCTTCAGTTTTAGTTTTGTTTCGTTTTGCAAGAGCGAAAGGGGAAGGGCCTCCTAACAGCCCCCAGGAGGATTCCAGCAAGCCTGGAGGTTCCCCTGGCTTCTTACTGACTTCAGCTGGTGAGCACAGAAGGGCACGATGTTGCTGCTGCTGCCACTTGGGTTTGTCCTTTCGAAGCACTTTTTAACTCAAAAAACCTGCCTCCCAGGGACTCCTTGAAGCTCTTTCCGGGCGCAGGCGTCTGGCGCGCACGCTCGCTCTCTCTCTCTCTCTCTCTCGGTTCTGCAAGAGGAAGGAGTGGGTCTGTGAATGTTTGTATGTTTTTCTAGTCCCTTCACACGTATGAAAAGTGTGTATATGTGAGAGTGTGGGGAGTGTGGGGGGGGGTCAAAGAGCGGAAGAGAAGCTTCCGTGGCCCCGGCTTCAGTGTCCCTCGGTGGGCAGCCTCTGTAGCCAGGCTGGTCTCTCCTGGTGCACGCTTCTGAGATGACGTCCCTCTGGAATATCCTTTTGGCGACAACCCTGTTCTTACTCCTGCCCCTGCACACGTCGGCCTCTCCAGCCTCTGACGACCAGCCCAGCGCCAGACACTCCAGTGGCCACACCTGTGTGGGTAAGTAAGCGTTTTGTATATTTTTCAGGCAGACACAACAATGGGGTCAAATACTTTGCGTAGTAAGTCACCTGTTTAATGACATCAATAGCTATGAATTCCAAGCTGGGTGCCAGTAACCTCACCAACACAGAAAATCTTTGAGCCCGAGAGTGAGCATTCACACGACGGCACATAAGTACTCTACACAATTACTCGTTTGAATTAGTTGTAAAAGCCCTCCACCTCGTTGGTGATTGGAATTTTTTTTCTCTTGGATGGGCAACCCTTTTAAGAGTCTGAAATTCTTACCCCTTTCAGAAGGACAGTGGGCACCATCACACAGTAGAAAGAAGATGGCCTTTCACCTCAGACAGCATCACTTCTGC